GGAAAGTTTACGCTGATGAAGTTCTGTCTTGACTGTTGACGGTGTTTATATTTACAATATACTTAACTTTTTAACTTTCTGTATATCTGGGAGGGCTAAGCAGGTACAGCTGTCCTTTGAATACCAACTGGGGATAATTACAAAACTCTGGATAAGGCTGGCGCTGAAAAGTCAAATTGTCTAATTGTCGGATTTGACAATAACAGTCTAGCACCAAGCTTACAAGTGAGTCCAAAAATTTGTCACTGCACACATTGTCTCGACTACCGGTTTTGTCGCCGGAAACTTCCTAGCCGCTGGTGCAGCAGCTCTTGACAAGGGAGCATTAGCGTGTCTCCACCACGGCCCGTCAAGAAACTGGGAGCCGGGCGAGATATCCAACGGACTTGAGCCGCGGGACAAATTGCAAGATGCGAATGGATCCTTCGTAGCTACTCAATCCCGAACCGGCCCCACTCAGAACGGTGTTCTCGCCGACGCCGCACCTCACCGAAACCTGGGCCGGGATTCTTGCAATTGAAGCGAAGAAAGCTCGAAGTGTAAATTCTTAGTACTAACGCTGCTCAAGCTCTATCTATTTGCTCGATGGTCTAGGTTGACAAGGCTCTGCTAGAGGCAGCGCATCAACAACGCCAACAAGGTCGACAGTCAAGATTTCGAATACAGCTCACTCTCCAGTAGAATCTCCCGTTCTAGCACTAGGTGTTCTGAGACTGCGAACTGACTGCCGACTTCACGAAGATCATCGTCTGACCGGCATGGGCAATCATCAGATGGAGCCTGCGTATACTCGGTGCAAACTTGAATAGTGGATTCGGGGGTGTGAAGGTTCATCTGAGGGACTCCCATGACTGCTGTCCACGATCCCGTGTCGCATATTATTGACGAAGTTGTTTCAAAAAGTATTAGATCGAGATCACAAGCCATATTCTGTCTGATATTGTAGTTCTTAGCTCACGAAGCTGGCCAGTGCAACGAAGAGTCTCACCTAGAGCTGGTTGTCATTTGTTTCATATTAATACTAGAGGGCCAACGACCATTCGTGATGAGAGAAACAAAACCAATGGGGATAGAAACTTGAAGTTGAGATTGGTGAAGTGCATTGGATGATCTCTGCGACCTCGGTAGTGCCTTTGATCAGTTCAGTCCCCTCATATACTGCTAAAGTGACTCCTCATTTCGTCTTTTGATGGTTTTCTATGCATTATATTGCGCTTCTAATGATGCATTTGCATGCACTTCCTGTGGTCTCGAAACCCGTGTTCACCTTGTGCGAGTGCTTGCACATGAGGCGTTCCCGCCGTCAGAATTAGGTTTAGTCCGCATCTCAATGCGCATTCAAATTGAATGCCAAGCAACTGGAAAAAGAAAACAGTCACTAAGCCCCTTTAATGTACTTGTGTGGAATGCACACTCGGTCATGTTAGAAGCTGTTAGAGCATGTACCAGTGGCTTCTAATCATGGATCATCGCCCTTGTTCCTTATCATCGTTTCATGTCTGTAAGATTCCGTAATAAAGTGGCTGGGGAACCTTTCACTTACCGCTCACTTTGCTCGCTCAAGCAATCCGCCCTCGTTAAGCTCAGAGGGAACTGAGCTCTTATCTGAAGAACAAAAATGAATCACACGCGAGATTCCGAGCGCTTAATGGCTGTTCCCATTGTGGAACATGCTTCTGAAGATGACCTAGAGGAGGAGAACAGTTCTCTCTTTGCCTTCAAAGATAAAGGGCCTAATTGGAACAAACCATTCTGGACTAGAGACCCTACACAAGTGCCGAATAACTCGGCAAATCCTTCCGTGCATTCTTCAACAAGGGGGCCTGTTCCATCCTGTCCATCTCTCTGCTCGAAGACGACTTTCTCAGAAAGTCAAGACTGCCAGCATTCCGTCCCTTTGTACCAAGCATTACAGGTCCCATATTGTGCGGACTTGACCAAAAGCTCGTTGATTCCGACCACTGCGACTCTGAAGAGCTCAGCCAAAGACAGCGACTGCTTCTCCAATGACGGCATAACCTCGGTCAAAGCTAGAGAGGAAGATCCGGAAGCCGTCTTGATCAGACAAGTTGGACACTGTCTTGAGTATGTCGACGATTCTCGGAATCACTCGAGGAGACCATTGGAGAGCTCAGAGATGAGGTCCAAATTTGACCATCCCAACCCCCCTCAATCACCTGCTACCACGAGATTACACCCTGATATCAAGCTCGAAGAAATTGATGTACCGGAATCATACACATACGTGATCAGAAGCTCAAACAAATCCAACCCAGACGAGGAGGCAAGTGAAGCCAATCATGAGGACAGCGATTACTCCCTGCGTACGCCGGACACCATGATGTCAAGGCAGGGATCTCCGGACGAATCTCTGCCGCCTGATACGTCAACCAGAGTCTCTCATGGAAATATTCTCGAGGGATCCATGCTATCACAGGTAAGGATCTTGCGTTCACTCGCCTGGATTCTCGGAGGTTCGAAGCCCAATCGCATTCCAATCTCACTAGCTGGAACTGGCGGCTCAGATGCTAGCTCGGGAGACTCGAGTATCCACGGAGGGCTTGGCCACAGTGGCTCGTCTAGTGGAACTGGTTCACAAGAAACTGGGAGTAAGAGGGCTTCGGCGTCTAACGGCAATGACGGATTCGACGGAAATCACGACAGGAGCCAGAAGCGCCCCAGACGCACCGACTGGGCAGCCGAGCTACAGGCTTTGACTAGACCTATGAGATATGCCTGCCCGTTCCAGAAGCATGATTGGGCAAGTTCTCCTCGATGTGCGTTGCCTAGTGGTAAGAACCGCGAGGGAGGATTCGAGAATTTCCATCGAGTCAAGTACGTCCTCTATGGAGCAAATTTCAAATGCATCTCCCACTAATATGAAGACAATAGGAGCCATATTCTCCATCACGACCAAGCACGCCGGTGCAAGAGATGCTGGAAATTCTTCGAAACTGAAGAGAAAGCAGCACAGCATTCACTTGAGGCTCTCTGTTCGGTAGATTCAATTGACAATGCATGGATGACGGCAGAACAGAAACGGTCCTTCATGCAGTCAAGGTTCGAGGTAAATAACGAACAGAAATGGTACCAATTGTTCGAGGTCCTCTTCCCAGATGAACTGGATATAAACAGAATCCTTGGACGGCCTCTATTGAAGCCCTGTATGTTAGACTGTGTCCTAGGTCACCGCATGTGCTCTTAGAAAACTGACATCTTTAGACTACGAGCTACCATTTTCACAAGCGTCGCAGTACCACTCTGTCAGCTCAGCTACCACTGCTCAAGATGTCAGGCAGAGACCTATGCAATCTTTTCCATCAATAGAAGATGATAGGTATGCAACACGTCGCGCCCCCATATTATATTATCATGCTAATCCTATGCAACGTGTGAAGACGAAGTAATGTCCCAATGCTAAACTCTGAATTAAACGCCGACTCCGGGTTGTCTTTTGGAGATCAGCCCGCGATGATGCGACTGGGCATGGCCTCGGAATTGGGTCATTCAGCTCTACCTGTATTGCCAGTGCCGCTTGACCCAGCCGTCAACTTGGACGCCCAAGTCCCAGGCAGCCTAGGGCCTTCCTTCGACGACAGCACGAACTATCCCAACTCGTCTCTAGAGGAGCACATACATCTTTCTACCGTTTCTGCAAATCCTGGGCTCTTCAGGCAGACTACGTATTGTGATAGCAGCGCGATGGAACTCAAACTCAACAATCAGCAACTTCGAGCCGAGCTTGACCACGTGAGACGCCAGTGCTCAAACGCCCGTGTTCTTGTAGACCAGCTCAGCGAGCTTCAGGAAAATATGATTCTCATGGCGGTACCTTCTCCGCAAGAGCACGACAAGATCACGAGGAACCTCGGCTCCGCAATCAGAAACCTGAGAACTGCTTTAGGTGCAGGATAATATGCGATCGCGTGATCGCAAATTGGTGGTCACGGAAATGACTCACTAAGAGGAAGATATAGACATAATTATCAAGATGTGAAGTCCTGAGAGCATTTGCCCCCCTAGCTAGACGTTTCAAATGTCCGCTGCGCGAAGGATCACTAACCACACTCATTTCTATACGAGCAGGAAGACAAAACAGCGTCGAGAGAAAAAAAGGTTTCAAGCTCATTGCTGATTCCATCCGTCTTTTATGATGACTCTGGGTTCTTTAAAAAAGTTATAGCAAGGGGGAACACGCCCATTCCCCGTTCCAGTCCCTTTCGTTTCCTTTCGCGATGCTTGCTAGCTGGACAGCAACGTAGAACCCCTTTCGATGAGAAGAAACGCCAACTGTATGTCCACCATTCACCCAGCCGCCCTACCAACCAACCATCCATCCATCGGCTCCCTGGCATTTCCGCCCAGTTCCTTCCCTCAAGGACTTGTACAAGGTAGCCAGCATTAGCTGGGAGGTGATTTAGGTTTCCTTCTCTCGCCGGTATCCGTTTTTATCATCGCGATGCATGAGGTATTACATAAAAAAATGAGGAGGCTTCCCAGACACCGGCTTGTCAGACAGCGACATGAACACCACAAACAAGTAAAAAGAAAAAAAAACAAAAAAATTTGCCGCTTTCCCTCTGAACGCCGGTCGCTTGATTTAGGTAGGTTCATTCGTAATCAACAAGAGTGTCGCTTTCGTTGACTCAGGTCAGACTCGGCCTAAGAGTCCGCCAACTTCGCAAAATGCTTCGACCAAATCCATCCAACCATGTCGTCAGGATCGTCTTGGTTTTTGGCTAGCCATAGTTCGCCCTTCTCAGCGATCACATCGAAGATCTATGATAAAAGCACATTAGAAACTGACTCCAGATGAAGAAATATACACGGGAATTACCTCTCCAGCTTGGTACGTCAGATAAGGGTACCCAGCCTCGTGTTTGGTAGTTTCGATGTTAAATTCGAAGAGAGATGCAGCGAGCCAGAGCACGTTATATCCATTAGAAGGATTGCGTTCACGAGAAGATGCACGAGATGACCTTTGACTCTCCTCCGTAGCATCAGCCAAAGGCAGAGCTGAATGGAACAATCCCGAGAATCTTCGGCCTTCTGGCCCTGGAATAGGGGAGTTGTAGGCTGAATTCGGATCACGCGGGGCATTGACAGTGGGCTGTGTCGTAGAGTCAATACTGGGTCTTGGGGCGCCAGTTGAATCATAGCTACGCCCAGTGCTCGGACGCGCAGAACCTGGGGCTGCTGAACGGGCGCCAGCCGATAATTCTGGTGTGATTGGTGAAGAAGCACCACGAGCATGCCCATTGATTCCAGCGTAGTAGTCTCGATAATAGTATTGATGAGGAGATGGCAATGTTGCAGTCGGAGAAAGGGTGAATTGGCCACTGTTTCGTTTCGCAAAGTCTGGCGTTGGAAGTGTTGGGGCAACCTCACTGTTGACCGACAGGCCCCGTGTTCGGGTAGATAGATCAGACGGCCTAGATCTTGTCTTCGAGAGATCTCCATCCGTGGTAGACTGAGATGACCTGCCTTTGAGTGAAGGGTTGAGGATGCCGATACTAAGGATAGCCTCTTCCATGTCTTTGAAGTCTCGGTGGAAAGTATTCACAACATCCGACATCTCCGGAGTGTGAGCGCTACCAAGTACTACCTTGACTTTCTCTTTCCATATGGAATACCATTTGGCCTGAATGTTGACGAAATTTCCGAGGCAGATATTGCCAATCTTCTCAGTAAGAGCCGAAAGCTTTGGAAGTTCTTTCTTCAACGTCTCGTTCAATGCTTCATACTGCTCGACCAACTCGCTCAGGGATTTGTCGATTTTCTTGCCTCCTTTCTTGAGCTGAATATACTTCTCGTAGTCGAGACGGCGTTTGCTCCGTTTCTTCATTGCCAGTGAAGGATTGCCATAACAACGGATGACAAGTTCAAATGGCTCAATGACATGCTTCCGAACTTGAGAGAGCTGTGATTGTTAGAATGAAGCATGCGAGAAGAAATGCGTGGTAACTTACATGTTGTTCCAGTGCAACCTTCTCGATGTCTCTCATAGAGACATTGAACTGGACCCACTTACTCTCTATTTCAGGATACGGACCTGGCTGAAGCCTCATGACCAGTTCGATGGAAGAAAGGTACTGTAGAAATTCGTGTACATAGGCCGAGACCTGTCGAGTGTAGAACTCGACATCGCGAAGGACGACCTGTAGCCGCAGATAATCGTCGCCAAACTTCTCATGCAATTTGGAGTATTCGGGATCCTCCTCTGGCCGATTGCTAGAAGCCTGAAGCTTGTCAACCCTTCTGCCGAAGGCTTTGGCGAAACCAGCCTTAACATCAGACTCCTTGCGCTTCCTGCCAACGATTTGACCCACGAGCTCGAAGTTCTTCTTTGTCTTGTTGATCTCCAAGATCGCGTTTTCAAGGGTGACCCGCGCATTGACTAGAGCGTCCCGATCAGGATGATCAGCAGGGGTATACTGAAGAAGCTGACTGATGAGATTCGGGTATTTGGTAATTCGTTGCATGGGCTTAATCAGCAGTGAATCCAAGTTCCATGCTGCGGTGAGGTCCTTTGCGACTTCGTTGCATTCATTCAACCAGACCTTGACCGTTGGGTCTTCTTGGATCTGGATCAGTCGTTTGGCGGCATGATCACTGGTTCGCAAGAAGCCTTCATGAGCCGCCTTCATCTTATCAATGTTCTTTGAAAAACAAGGACCGATGGTAGACTGGCGGTCTTTGGTATCATCAGTATCAGCGCCAGACATCGACAGACCGGCGACAGAAACTGCCGTTGTGGATGAGGCCGCGGTTGAGGGGATCGTTGATACAACGGTCGACACTATTGAATTGATCGTTGTTGCATCAGATGACATCGTTGTCTCTTCTTTCAGCGCGGGAGACCGGCGTCCTTTAGGAACGTAGACGCTTGCAACCCCCTCTTTCAATTCTTGAAGGAATGCTGTGTGGAAAGTAATTATCTCATCTGTGTTCCTGAAGATGAGTTTGATGGTCTTGGTGTCCAACTTCGGGCACGCTTCAGCTGTGCCTTTATAAATCTCCTCGATGACGTTCATGTCTCTTACAAAGACAGCCTCCGTGTCAATCAGCTCTCTGATGACCATCTGGCGTTGAGTAAGCCGGTTCTTCTCTTTGTCAGTAGAAGCTGTCTTCGTCGGCAGCTCTCCGGTGGAAAGTGATCGACGCTCGCCATCGATGGGCGTCAATCCTGGAGTTACGCCTTCGATGTCGAGTGACACCTGGTCTGCTGAATGCGGAGTAGATAATGCATGTGCAAAGTCCTCACTTTCTCGTCTAGAAGCAGCGAACGTGAACGAGCTTCGGTCTTCCCGATGGAGTGAGCTGCTTGGCCGTGCTTCATCGTAGTACCCACTTGTACGGCGAGAATCATTCGCGTAGTGGTGGTCTTCACTGACTGAAGGGGGAGGAGGAGGTGCATGATCAGGCAGCTGCGGCACAGGAGGCACTTTTGTTGCATTTGCCATGTATGGAATTGCGAACCCATCGCCGGTATCTAACTCAGGCAGACTATGCTGTTTCTCGTGATAAGACGGGAATCGGCCGGTGACAGATGTTTCAGATACATCCAACGGCGACATGTCAGGGCTGTAAGGTTGTTGGTGGAAGCTCATTTCCTCTCTTATAGACTCAGGTCTCGAATCTGCTGGGCGACTATGCCTTCCATCGTGGAAGTTTGACGCGGGATAATGAGACGCAGAGTCTCTTGACATACGCCCATGGCTCTCATTGCTATCGATGGAGAAATCGGTCCAGACGGAGTGTTGACTTGATCGATTGGCTGGCGACATAAGAGGGGGCACAGTCAGGCTGTTTGACGTATCTGGGGTATGTTCAGGATCGGTAAACACCGCTTGCTCATCAATCGCATCCTGTTCCGATCCAGATAGGGTTGAGTCTCGAAGGCTGGCGATATTGTCTTTCAGATGAGGCCCAATATAGAAGTGCTCCAATGGATCGACTTGCTGCTCCTCGCTTTTACGGACGTCCTCTTGGCCCTCACCTCGGTAATCCATTCTTTCATCCACTGGTTGGATGTGGAATGGACCAAATCCAGGATCTCGACTGAGAATTGTTACAGTCGTCTTTTGATACGCCGGGGCCACGTATGGTTGGGGCTCATACTCAGGCTCCGGCTCGTACTGCGGTTGGGCCGCCTCCTCCTCTGGCTGAGGTTCGAAGTAATGCTGAGGTTCATACTCAGGCTGATGCTCATATTCGTCTTGGAAGGCTCCTGGTATGCTGGGTTCGGGGTCAAATTCACTCCTCGTTGGAGTAACTTGTTGAGCTTCTTGAGGCGATGCCGCTTCCAAAGATATCTTGATAGAGGCATGCTCAGTTTGCGGACCATCGTCTTCAAAAGGATCCCTGTACATTGCCTTTTCATGTGCCGCCATGGATTGCCTTGGCTGCACAGTAAGGTCGTCAGGTTGCACGATATGCAGGGCCTGTTCTTGAACAGGAGGTTCGGTTTGAGTTTCGCCATCAAACTCTGTAACCACGGTTGTAGCTGAGACTGCAGAGAGCGGCGCGTCATCACTTCCAATAGGCGGCGACCCGAAACTCGGAAAACTACCTGGGACCCCGAGAGTAGGAGAATCGTTAGCCGTTGACTGCTGCTCAACGACTTTAGGAACAGTGGGTGGAACGAGAGCAGTAGTTATCCTCAACTGGCGTTCTGCTGGGGACGCGGGTCGTGAGCTTTCTGCACTCTTCATATGCTCCCTCGCCTGTGCTGCTGCGGCCTCTGCAGCAGCCGCTGCCGCTTGAGCTTTTGCCTCAGCTTGTACCTTGGCTCTTGCCGCTGCCTCTAACTCCTTTTTCCTCCTCTCTGCGGCAGCTTCTCTAGCTTGTCTCGCCTCTGATTCACGAATCGACTTGCTATATTTGAGTTTTATGGTTTCTCGTCGTTCAGCGAAATCTACAGGACCGACAGAAATCTTTCGTCGACGTGTCGTTGGCGCATCTTGCCTCGAAGCTGGTCTGCTAGGCGGTCTGCTCACGGGCTTATGAGGCGATTTTGATCTGTCGACCTGTTTTAATCTGGAGCTTGCTGTCGTCGCACTAGAGACAGGTTGGCGGGGCCGAGAGCTGCGCAAGGGAGGCGATAATTTCGGAGGGGGTGCTGAGATATAAGCGGCAAGGCGGTTATTATTGGGTGTAGCAATTGTAGTAGGCGCGGGTTTTCTCGTGGAGGCATTAGTATGTGTGGGTGTCTTCGCCCTTGCTGTAGGTGTCGTGGATCGAGTAGTCGGTGTCTTCGCCCGGTTCATTGCCACCGGGGGACCCTGAGTTCTCGATGTTCTTCCATTATTCACAGGTCGTTTCGCATTTGCTGGAGAATTTGAGCGTGTCGATGCAGGACTTGTAGGATTCGACGGACTGTTTAGCTTCTTGACCGAAAGAGGAAGCCGGGATGATGGAGATGGTGGTTGAGGAGGAACTTGAGTGTGTGGATGTGACCGATCGACATTTCTTCGGTGTTGTGGAATAGTACTGTTTGAATTCGGCTTTGACCCGGCGAGATCGCTGTGAGCTCGAGTATGGGACTTGGGTATCCGAGAACTTGTAGCTTGTCCATCATCCGGCGGAGCGGTTGATGCTGAGCGATACCAGTCTGTTGGAGAGACTGGCTCTACAACCGCGTCTGAGAGACTTCGTTGATGATGAGTGTTGATGGGTTTGTGAATGTTAGAATCTGATGTCCTCCTTGGCCGGGCAACATCTATTCCATATCCTGCCGTAATAGCATCAAGCTCCTCTGGGAGTATCTCACCGAACAGCAGGCCACCAGTTCGCGCAGGCGGTGGTGGGGATGAGGGAGGATTCGGTGATGCTGCCGGAGGCAGGTGCGTCATGGATTTAGATGCTTGCGCATTCGAGGACACAGATGTTCGTGGTCGACTTATCCTGCTCGCAAAGGACTGCGAATTGCTAGACATGTGATCCTCTGCGACGAATTTTGTTCGCTGCGTGCCTCGAGATGTGCCAGTCCTCGTTGAGTCGCTCCCTGACTCCCGGGAAGTTGTCCCGCGTAAGGCTGAATATGACTGGCCATTTGCGAGAACGGGTGATCTTCCATTGATGCTGCTAGAATTCGCGTCTTTCGGCGGGTTTCGTGGAGTGAGCTTGCGCGGGCCAGTAACGGGCTGTGACGTGGTCTGGTCGAATCTCTTCTTCAGATCCTTCACACTTGGCTGGCCACCGCCGTTGTATCCATTACTCGTCGCCGATCTCGCCCTCGCCCCGTCCAGCGCTGACCTGTCATCGACGGGGTTGGACGCTGAGCGATAGGCAGGCCGAGTAGCAATCCGGGTCCCAGAAACGCCGGGCTGCTTCGGGGTGCCGGCGCCGTTTGTGCGCGGAGAAGGGACTTGACGATTGCCTGAAACTGCCGAGGCCATGGATTCTGGTATCGGCGAGGGCAAGAGGGTGATGTTTGCGTTGGATTGCACGCCCCGATAATTGCGGTAGAAATCGTCCGGATCGGGTGCTGGGTTGCCAAAGGCGCCAGCTAGATCGATGGTGGCATTGGTGGCAGAAGCCTGGTAGTTGTTTGCGGCATAAGACGCAACGGGGATCTGGGGGGATCGATCGTCGTAGGGATTGCTGAGGGCGGCGTAATCGACGGCGGGCTCGTGCTCGAGAGTGCGATCGTGGGAGAAGTGACGCTGATGCCGTGACGGGGAGAAGTGAGAATGTTGCTGCTGGTGCGGCGGTTGGTGGTGATGTTCGTTGTCGTAGTGGTAGTGGTGGTGCGGCGAGTACGGTGACGATGGCACGGCCGGCCCCAGTCGACGACGATCCTCCTCTTCTCGATTGCCTGCCTCCATTGTGGCCCGAACATCAGTCAGGCTCTCGTCCGGCGGATGGCAAACTGGGCTGGGAAGTCAGAGATCCATGCACAGGCTGCATCGAAGGTCGTCAGGGCTTGGAAGCATTGATGTGTTGGCCTGCAACGTGAGTGGGCGAGCGAGACGTTTCGAGGAGGCGACGGGGCGGCCCTGGCAAGTCGTTGCTGGCGAAGCGTTGGCCAACGTTAAACACGGAGGTACCGCAGTACTTTTTTCTACCATGCAGCCCACACCCACACCCACCAAAATCCACACACAAGCACACGGCAAGGATGGGCTGGGCAGGTACCTCCAACACGCTCACATTCACAGCAGGTTAACTCCCAGGCTGGCCTGCAACAGTATCACAGCACCGCAGTATGGTACAGCACACACATCCAACATCTAGACCCAGGAGCCAGCTTCCCTCCTCCTCCTCCCCTGATTAGATTATCTACCTTGTAGTTTCTCTCTCTACGGCTGTCCCATCCCGCCGCCGCCGTACACTACGATGTATACATCCCACATCCACCCTCGGTTGCAGCTGGGCAAGGATAGATGGGCGCGCCACGTAGAATATGAACGGATCAGCTTCCGGAAGCAGAAGCGACTGCGATCCCCAAGGACTCGATTTATCGACTCTCGAGTTAGGCTAAGGAGTCTAATTACTGCTGCTGGCAAAGAGCTCATTGATGGAGGTAAGATGAGGATTGCGGCGCGCGATGGAGTCGACCCATATGTGGGAGTTTGTTATTGACTTGCTGTGTCAGCTACGGTTTTTTCTTTTCCCAGCTTCTGTTGCTTTTCCTTCTCCTTTTTTGTTTCCTTTTCCTGTGCCTGAGTTCCTCCGCCAACTACCTTTCAAGAGCCTCGACACAAAAGCTAATTGGAGCGCTATCAAGGCCAATGACGACACAATCGGTTGGCCGTCTTCTTTCGAGACACTCGCAAGAAGCCGCAGAAGACACAAGGTGCGGCGGCGGAATCAAGGGATGGAAAGTGAGAATTGGCCAGAGACATCGCTTGCGCCGTAGACCTGTCAGCGTATCTCTCGGAGACCCGCCCGCATCCACCACCCGACTGTGGCTGATTCTGAATTGCGCATGGCCAACCGCAAGTCTGCTCGGGGATGATTTGGCTGAATCGAGTGGCCCTCAGTGACTGGTCCGTAATGGCTCATCCTGGCTTGCCAAGAGCCCTCACCCCCCAAAGCCACATCAGACCGGGATTGCGGCTGCATGGGCGATAGAGCGATATGTACTTGGGCCCCGTATCTCTGGCCTGCCATCCTGGCTTGAGCTCGTGCCCTGCCCTTGAAATGCTTCGACAAGACGCTGTATAGCACTGGTGGCCGAGGTCCTAACCGGGGGGTTATTGACTGTTGTTCGTATCCCACAAGTCTGTTACGCCACTGGCAGCCGATCTCTTGCATCGTCCCTGGACATGCCCTGGATTCAATGATTAGCACTTCCAGTCCAGCTGGGAGCCTTCTCAGCTTGAAGGTAGTAAATAGGCTCGATAGGTTAAACAAGATATCTCGGTAATGAAAGATAGCGTGTACTCGACAGGCCTGTAACGTTTGTTTTTGCAAGATCGCCGAAAAGCAAGTACAGGTTGATCTCTCCTTCCCCCACTTCGAACTACCTTATGTATGTATATCTCCAAGGTGTGGCTGCCCGACAGTGCCATTAAGGCAAGGTACCTTCCCTGATGCGCTCGTAAGGTTTTGGCCATCCTGTTGGCCCCCTCTCCCAGCCCAGCCGGTTCCCCGTTTTACGGGCCCCCCATTCTCGCCCGTCTCGGTGCGCCACGGGCAGCTTAACGGCCTAATTGCCGCTAGCACACGCCGCGAAGATCCCCTAACGCACCTCGACCACAAGTGAACCAAAAAAGATCGCCCGCTTGTCTTGCTAGCACGCTCCGGCCAGACACTGTGGCTGTGGCTGGGTCGCTAACTGTTGTCAACACGGCCGCGCGCCAATCACGACGCGCTTCCATACAATATTGGCCTGGTCCACGATCCGGTGAGAACCCAATTCGTGAAGCCCGCCATTTATGGCAGTTCGATGGGCCTGAGCTGTGCGACCTGGCAGCGGGACGGGTTTCTGGCCTTTTGACAAAAAAGCAACTGGCAGCGCAGCCCAAGTTGGACATGTGCCCAAATGAGCCCGCCCGATCGTCAGGTACCCGAGCTTGTTGGCCTGCCTTCAAGCGGGAGGAGCCGTGCATTCTCCACACGAAGGCGGGAGCTTCTCAACATCGGGCAAGATGCCTCACTCAAAGCGGCAGAGAAAGAGAAAGAGAGCGGTCGGCGATGAGCAAGCCGCGTCATCCGTGGGACGACCCCTCAAACAAACCAGAGGCGAAGAATCAAAACGCGTCGATGCAGTGGAGCATGCTTTACTTGTACAGTATTATCCAAAGCTGCAGACTCTACGCAGCTACGTGTTGTCACACCTCCCGAGCAGCTCGAGGCTCAGAAGAAAAAAGATTGCTTCTATAGGAGCTTCAAATGAGCCATCTAGCAAGACACCAGATGACACCGAGCTCCATCTCAGCCGCTTTCTAGACTCCACTATTGTTGCTGAATCGTCAAGTCAGGAGAAAGCGAGGCCAGAGCCAGAGAAACGCTGGCAGAAATGGATGAATTTCTCACAGAAGGGAGACGAATCTTATGTCACTCTATCAGATGGTGTGGCCGGAGCAGCATACTCGCAATCCGAAGTGAGCAAGTGCGGTCCGAATGAAAAGCTTTCCAGTGCTAATTGGCTTTCAGATAGTGGATTTCGTTATATGGCTGCTATTCTCTAAGGAAACGAATCCAAGAAGCTGGCCAAAACATGTTCTTTGCGATGGATTCCGGCGGAATTCTGCCCCAAATAATCAGGGACCAGCTACAATGGATAGCAATTCCATCCCGGGACTGTACCGCGTGCATGACAATAATCGTGTGCAAGCTCTTAAACAATCGCCTTGGCCTCTTACTCTCACACTTTTGGGCCAAGCTGGAGAGAAGATGATGATGGATTTACTCTTGGATTGTTCCGTCTTTGTGTCATTGGAAGCTGGCAAGGCCAACTACTATCAAGTCAGCGGTGAGCAGACCGTTTTGGAAACTTGGTGATATGTGCTAATGAATGTTTTGCTAGGCGAGCCAATTTCGGATTTGCTCACATTAAACAGTATAGATAAGAACCGAACGGTCCTATCGAAAGGCAGCCGCGCTGCAGAGAAATCGCCCTCGGAAATTGGGTTTGTCAGGAGCCGCATGCTTTATGCACGAGCTGCTCTTAATGCACGCGGTCTCGTTCAGTTCGGCCTAAGGCACATTCGTATGTGTGTTGCTAGCATGAATTTTGTCTCGCCCACTAATATGCCGTCGCAGATGTTCTGAATCGTTGTCCGGTACAGGCTAGCTCAAAACATTCGGATGGCCAGCAAGAACATGGTGCAGAGGAGCAGTCAATCAGGAACAGGAACAATACAACTCGTGTCATGATGTACATGTTCCCACGACAATTCGGTCTACACAATGTGTTTACCTCTCAGGTTGATCACACGCAAACGGCACAGAAGTTCCAGGACTACACTCTCCGAGAAGAGGAAATACTTAAGAGGTTTTCCCGAGCTGGAGAGAGCTCACAAAGTCTATATGTGCAAGTTCCAAGACGTTTGAGAGGCACATTGAGCCATCTCGTCGAGCGATTGCAAATTCTGCATTCGCGGTGCTCCTATGCGGCATTGCTGCAACACTATTGTCCTGTAAGTTGGTTCTTGTGATAATCTGGAACATGAACTGATAATGTCTAGGTGCAGAATCAAGTCGAGGATGTTAAAGAGAGTCGCACGTCAAGGTCACTGTCTCAAGCGGGTAGATCGCATAAGAAGCATCAGAAGACCCGCCGGAAGTCCCAGCAGACCTCGACTTCAATCACACCAACAGGTTACTCATCTCTTGTGGAACTAGCTACCCCTATTTCGAGCATTTCAGCATTTTGCCGGGCAGTTCTATCAAAAATCATCCCCAATGAGTTCTGGGGCACGGGCATTAGCCAGTTGCAGAACAAGAAAAACTTTATGAGACACGTCGACCACTTTGTACGGTTGAGGCGTTTTGAGACAATGTCTTTGCACGAAGTAATGAATGGTCTAAGGGTATTTCCGCCTGTCCTGTGGCATTGACTTGGCTTACAATGAGGGCTAGATCACAGACATCGAATGGCTGACACCTCCTGCACTGAAGGGCAAAAAATGCAGCCAGACCGATTTTCGCAAACGAACCGAAATATTTCTAGAATTTGTCTATTACTTGTTTGATTCGCTTTTGATACCCCTGATTCGCAGCAATTTTTATGTTACAGAGTCCAATGTACATCGATACCGACTCTTCTATTTCCGCCACGATGTTTGGCGCTACATCGCCGAGCCGGCAATGACATCTATCAGAGCAAGAATGTTCGAGGAGGTGAAGATGGATGATGCGATGAGGATACTCGACTCTCGGCGTCTTGGATTTAGTCAAGTCCGGCTTCTGCCAAAGGAGACCTCTGTTCGCCCGATTACGAATCTGCGAAGACGAACTTTGACGAGAAATAATAGAAAAATCCTGGGCCCTAGCATCAACTCCATCTTGGGTCCTGTTCATAGTATGCTGAAGCTTGAGAAGGTAAGAGTTAAAACCTACGCATGTTGTAATCTCACTAATGACCCTAGTCCCTTGAACACGATCGCCTGGGATCGACCATGTTCTCCGTTGGCGATATCTACAAACGAGTCAAGGACTACAAGCAACGGCTTGGCCTTGTGAAGGGCAAGTTCTACATTGCCAAGGTTGATGTACAGGCTGCATTCGACACGATTCCACAGCAGGCGATAATAGATCTAATGGCCTCCGTCCCGACTCACAAACAGTACAAGATCATAAAACACGTTGAGGTAAAGCCAAATGACAGTGGGACATTGACCGGCGCAGCGACCACCAGAAGGTGGCACTCGTCCGCGAAAGCAGCAAAGGATGCGTCGCTGTTTGTGGACATGATTCGAAAGAGTCTAGCACCTAGCAGGAAGAACACGATTTTCATCGACAGTGTGGTGCAGAAGGTCCACCAGTCTAAGGACCTGCTCACGCTGATGACGCAACACATCCAACAGAACCTTGTCAAGATAGGCAAGAAGTACTACAGACAGAAAGACGGCGTCCCGCAAGGCTCTATCTTATCCTCGCTTCTATGCAATTACTTCTATGCGGACCTGGAAAGGCACCACCTGGAATTTCTGCAGTCAAAAGATTGCCTCCTCCTCCGACTTATCGATGACTTTCTGCTTATCACAACCGACAAGTCTAAGGCGAGCAGATTTGTCCAGGTCATGCATCAGGGAATGCCCGAATATGGCGTGACCGTGAGCCCGCACAAGAGCCTCGTCAACTTCGACCTAGACATCGACGGGCTCTCAGTGCCTCGACTTCCGGATGGTAGCACCTCCTTCCCCTACTGTGGCACGCGTCTCAATTGTCGGACTCTTGAAATAGCCAAGGACCGTGCGAGCACCAGGGACCCAGTCATCTCCAACGCTCTGACCGTTGAGTTTGCGCGCCTGCCGGGCCAGAACTTCAAGCGGAAGGTCCTCAACGCCTTCCGGATCCAGTCGCACCTCATGTTTTTCGACACGACGCACAACTCTCCGCAGACGACCTTGAAGAATATCTATGATGCGCTTTACGAGACCGCGACCAAGATGTGGGCCTATGCGAAGTGTCTCCCGCGGGAAAGGCAGCCCGGGACGCAGCTGCTAATACAGACTATAAGGGAGCTTGTGGACGTGTCATTCTTGCTGCTCACTAGCAAGTCAAGGAAGGCAAGGTATCCGGGATATGAATGTACCGTTAAGAAGACGCAGGTGCTCTGGCTCGCCTTGCATGCTTTCAAGCGGGTCCTGGAGAAGAAGCAAGCGCGTTACCGGGAGTTCCTTGCCTGGCTAGATGTGGAGATTCGGAAGTTGGCCGTCAAGAAGGATGGATGTGTCAATATTACATTGTAGCACTAGGTGCGCGGCCACGATAACCTGTCTGTATGCTACCTTAATGCCAAAGACCCTTATTGTAAAAGCATGTGATCCTCTGTAACCGGATTCGAAACGCCAAAAATGCGCGTCACATTCATACATGCCTTGTCGTCACGATAGTCGACGCTACACCTCCGACATCTCATCATCAGACCATAATGCCGCTCCTCCACCAATGCTGCGCATCTATATGCCAATGTGGCCACTGGTCGTAGTCCCATCGCCACCAGCCATCGCCAGGCTTGCCGAACCCCATCGCGCGCAACGGGCTGAACGGCACCGGCTCGAACAGCCACACCGCCGAGCGGCTGAGGTCGTCGACGAACGCCCATTGTGTGAAGTGCAGCCACAGGACGACATACAGTAGATTCCCAGCGCGGCGCACCGGGCGCGGGAGCTGGGGACCTTTCTGCGACAAGACCATGGTCAAGGCGGTCTGCACAATGATACCAATCCAACTCAGCAGGAAGAACGCCGGCGGCATCCAGGGCTTCGAGTCGGGAAGGCAGGTCAGGCTACCGGAGGCGTGCAGGAAGCTGGACTGCGCGAAGGCAATCAGGCTCGCGACGACTTTGGTCTGCACTGTACTAAGCTTCTGCAGATGTCCATTGCGGTCGAGCCAGAGTGTCGGCGCTGAGAACGCTTGGCGGAAGGTCTGGTGCCACCAGGCGCCCCAGAAGCCGGCCAAGCCGTTCTCGAGAACTTGGTCGAACGAGCCGAGGATCGAAGGGTAGTGCCACAGCTCGCTACGGGTGCCGAGCCAGCGGCGCAGGAGGAAGCAGCAGACGAGCTGGTGGCTGGCGAAGACGAGGTGCAGAGCTGCGATGATCCCTGCCAGGGATATACTGCTGCGCCAGATGGACACGAGAAAAGGAGGGAGTGAGGCGAGGAGGGCGGGAAGCGGGCGCTCGTTGGGCCCGAGGACGAAATAGGGATCTTTCATCATGAAGACGCTGCAGAAGTCGAGGACGACGAAGTCAATGGCTAATCTGCTCAGCTTTGTGTGCAAGAAGGCTTTGCGCGTCGTGGAACGAGCATAGCCAAATCGCGTGGAAATGGCGATAGAGTCAAGTTTGACCAGCTCCCCTGACTGAGGTTTCTCTGGTTTGGCAAAACGGGGGACTGACGGGATTGACCAGTTCCATCCTATGAATGTGTTAGCTGCAATGCCGACATCAGATCGAATATACCGTACCCGAGCCTCGGAACGCGAAGACCAAGTCTATCGCCCATTCTAGTCTTGTGAGAAATGACGCATTCGCTGGATATGCCTGCCAGTAGTACTCATATTCGGCCAAGTTATTCGCAATATCCTCGTCCGGCGCTGCAAGAGCCCGGAGTCTCTCATCGTTGCTTGCAGTGGTCCTTTTCGCATGCCCGTTGCTTGTAGGGGTCACCGAATGACCATTTTCTACCTGAGACGACCCATTCATCTGACCTGTCGTGACCCTTCGTCTCTTCTCGACCCTCTCAGCCTCAAACTGTGGAGCCATCCATATCAAGATAGTTGCAGACCAGACGATGCCCCACGACTGAAACAGGCCCACTGCATAAGCAGCCGCCATGTTGGTGCTGGAGCTCCGGCCCATCTCCTGCAGGTTGAAGGCGACAATGAGGGCGTACAGCGCAAAACGCGCCTGGTAGAGCCAGGGGCGCTTGACGTGTGGGATCGTCAGGTACAGAATCGGCAGGATGAAGGTGCCGAACGCCGCGTACGGGACGACGAATAAAGTTGCATTTCCTGCAGCAACCTTCTCTCGGAACTGGGCGCGGTACAGCTCCCGCTGATACAGGCCTAGATTCACCGTTTCCAGCATCGTGGCAGGGAGTGCTTTGGAGTCAGGCTGACACGCGTGGTACAGAGATGAAGCCATCCTAAGCGGTGGAACTGCAACAGTTCCTGAGAAGCCTGAGATCTAAGAAGATCCTTGAATAGGAAGGAACGTGTTAAACTGGCTCGTCCCGACCGTGCAATGATCGCTAGTGCTTCTTTGTCTATTCACGTCAGCTTGTCGGTGAGTTCATTGCCGCAGCCGTAAGGTAAGCTGGCGCAGCGGCCGCCTAGGATCAAGGGTGCGATGAAATGCGAGCAAGCCACAACCGGGAATTGTCTCTACGTGGCAGTTGAACAGATTGCAGACATGTACGACGCCCGGCACAGATCTGAGACAGCTAGAAACGAGGTTGCTTGTGTAAAGAGACTCTAAAGATGCACCATGATTTTCTAGTGTAATTCTTGGATGCCAGAAAAAAGACTTGATTTCGAAGAATTGTAAGCCTGCATCTTAATTAAACCAGTATTACCATATGGTTGACGTCAAGGACCCCTGGCCAGGCCTAGACTACTGGCCTCAGCGGGCTGGAAAACGGGCTGCTGGAGCTGATACCGCCTCCCGAAACCTTGCATCGATCCAGGCGCTAGCTTAGATACCGGAGCATAAGGTTACACCCGCCATTTTGGGAGATAGCGTTCTTCATGTCTTTTGCCGCAGTTTGCACATTTTTAATACTTTGAATATATTTATTGTCTATATACCGGTTGTCATCACGCTGTCGGGTATCTTGAGACCGACAATGCATGTCGATAATGTCTCAGTGAATAACATGTTTGAGGACGAGAGCACAGGCGCCACTTTTAAAAAGTAGCGACAACAGCATCGCCAACTTTAATAGTTGGATGTTGGGCAACTTTGGTGGCTATATCTGCGCTCGGCGTGTGTCCCATGTGCGTCCCAAAGAAGACCTTGCCGTCGAACCTTCTTGTCTTCGATAATGTGATAAACGGCTCTTCGTTCTTGAGTCCTGTCTCTTGATTTATGCATACCATATGACATCTTCTGCATGAGCCCAACATCTTAAATTCCTGCTGACCGATCCTCAACGTCGACCAGCTGTCCTCTGCGTAGGCTAGACCCTGAGGAGGAGCGCCATCGGGTGCAAGAACGATATTCGCCCTGAAAACCGATGCGGACACCTCTTCGCCACCTCGACTCGAAATCTCTTGATTGAGGAACTCGAGGCTGGCTGTATTGACGACAAGGATAGGGCTTTCATTTGATAGTAAAATCCTCCGCCTCTCACTCTCTGCATCAGAGTCCGGTGGTGAAGGTGGCGCATGGCCAGTGCCAGCTGATGGTATCACTGCCAACTTAGAAACTGCTTGATGTTTCTGTAAATGAGCTTTGGAGTGCCGCATACTTGGGCCTTGGCCACCAGGAGGAAACCGAGCCAACATGCAGGGCACCTCAAGAATAGCTGAAAAGAAATCATTGATCTCTGGTGAGATGTAAGTCTGGGCCGATATTTCCTCTCCGCAGACCCGGGACGATCTTGATCGCCAATGCGCGGCTTGCTGGAACATAGCCGGGTTATTCGATAACGGTACTGATATCCCAGGATTTGATTGTTTCGAAGTATCCCCAGCATATGTCACTCTCAGGCAACCCTCTTCAAAGTCAAGGATCGGTCGTATAAGAGACATCCGGGGGTAACGTTTCTGGCTGAGTGCCTGGCCTGTCCCTCGGTGAACCAAACACCACTCTCTATCCCAAGCAAGACCTTCTGGTCTCACTTCCCACTTGGTCTCTTCCGGAACCTGAAATCCACCGCAACTTTTGATAGGATATACTGTAATGCTTTTGACGTACAAGTCGGATGGCCGGTGATCGTGTCGTAATTCCTCCACTGGACTAACAATGGTATCGTCTCGATAAAACTCGTCGATGAACGTAACAAAACTGTCGACATCCGATATAGTGCTCATCGCACCAAGACTAGCTCGAATAACACCGGTGGGTTTCCCAGCTATGATGTCGTTGTCGTCACCGCAGCGAAAGCCCGACGAAAAGTTCCTTTTGATCTCCCATGGCTGGAGATCCAGCGCGGAAGCAATCCCACCTGGGTTGCAAACACCACCAGTGCGGATATGGAATCCCTTCAGCGTCGCCAGCTTTTCAAACTCAGCCAAACTAATCCAAGCACCTGTTTGGTTGAGTATATTAAATGATACCGTAGGTCCATTGCCCCCGGTTGGGTCAACCTGAGATGTACTAGGAGAGTAGACTCGGCAGACGTGTTGGCGGTTCCTGTGTCGCAACGCCGCAAGACCTGTATGTAATCGATTCGCTAGAAACGCCACATGTGATGATATATCATTCATGGTACCAAATAAACGCCTGTGCGTATCCATGGCGACATCCAAAGCTATGATGCTGTGGATCGGTAATGTGCCATCTTCAAGCCGCTCATGAAGGAATTGAGACTTTGACGCATGCCACTGCTCCTTGACACAAACGACGGTATCCACAGTACCACCCCCAAAATATCTTCTATGCGAGAATATTGACTCTGATTGACGTCTAACAATCAAAGCCCCAAGATCTGGGAAACCAAAGATCTTGTAAAAGCTGACGACGGTGAAGTCTGGGGCTGCCGTAAAGTCACTCAAGTCCAGTGGCGCCGTAGCCGCAAAGGCGGCCGCATCTAGAACTGTATAGAACGAATTACCTGACGAGGGCAGCTGCCTCAGTCTGGTGGACCAAGAAAAGGGCAGCCGCTGCCCATCCATATTCGACTGCGCAGGATACGCGAACAGTGTTGTCGGACTTCGCATGCTGTGGTGTTCAAAAGGATTCAGACCGCCTAGCCATGAGTCCATCTGTGCATCATCGAGACAGAGGCTATTTCGAGCCTCTTCCCGGACGCCTATCAGACTCGTATGGGAAGTTTGGTGATACGCATAATCAAAACCTCCTAGTGCAGCGCGGAACGCCTCGGCGACAAGCTTGATCCCCGCGGTGGCATTGGCAACAAAGACAACATCAAATTCGGTGGGATCTGCATTGAAGAATTGCAACACTCGCAGCCGGATATCCTCGATACGAGAAGTTGACAATTGAGAGGAGAGCGAGGCAGAATGGGGGTTTCCGAATAAGTTCGATGTCATATCCTTGGCGAACCCATCCATCAGGGACTTTGAGTAGAGTGTCGTCCCGGCATGATCAAGGTAGACGGAACCTTGAACAAGACAGTCAGCGTGTGCGATAACCTCATGCGACAATTGACGCTCCTCATACCATTCAACATTGGATACTCCGTCGTCCTGAAGGCCTCAACATCGGCATTGTAGCCAGAAGCCTTGGTGGTCGCCATCGTGACCGCTTTCCTACCTGGCTGGACGTTTGAAAACCATCCCTCGCCCCGATGCAATAGCACTAGGTGCGATAACAAACATTGGGCAAACAATAGGGAACGGGTATGAGAATGATGACAATGCGAGAAATACAGTCAATTGGCCTGATAGCACAGATATCATGTCATGGGAAATAGGCAATCGAAGGTGGCGGAATCCATCGTGACCATCGACTAAGAGAGCCACTGCGTCTTCATTGGGCGCACCAGCGGCTGGCCTTAGACTTGGGCCTTGAAAGCGCCGGCTGGCGATGACGGAGATCGCCTTACTCCAACGGACGGGGAGCACCTACAGCACTGTAGAGTGGGGAGTGGATGAGTAAGGTGGGGGGAAGGCCAGTGAGTGCCGGCTGATAGTCAGCAGCCTTCGGGCCTAAGATGAGCTGGTTGGTGCCTGGCGCAAGTCAGATGCTTAAGGCTCCCAGGCTTAGAGGATTTGATATGCACAGGCCACCGATAGCTAGATGATTAGGTCAGCCTGGCTGGGAGGCCCGTGTGTTCTGGTGGCAGGGCCTTTAATTGAGTCGCGTGTCAGGCGCGTCTTTCTTTCCCTAAGCTGCGAGCGACCCGCAGCCGCGACCGCGTCAATATGGGGCTCTCTCCCTGCACCCATACCGAGCATCCTGGCGTTTCGCGCCTTCCACCTGCCTCTTAACCATCTCCATTCCCACAGGCAGCTTCCTTCCTGTTCTCAACTTCAAATCTATTCCCGCCGTCCATCGCACCTGCATCAACAACTCTTCGCAATGAGATCGACTACTCTTGGAAAGAGAACAAGGAGCAGCTGCACCGTTACTCCTTTCGAGGAGGTTGAGCTGCCCTCGAAACGACCACGGCGCCAGACCAGGAACTTTCAAGTCAACGACGAAAATGCAGATCCTGCAGAATCAATTGATGTCGAAAATGACATTGGAGTTGAGGGCAACACTACAGACGTCTGGGATGTCTCTGTCGAAGGCACTCCGTCTAAGCGTAGATCAAAAGCTGCCTCGGTAGTTGAAGTGGTGAAGTACCGTACGTCTGCAGGTTCTACGGTATTGCCGAGATACCCAACTAATGTTCATGGTATAGCAATCAAAGCACCGCTCACACCATCGACCCCTCGACATCGCGATGCATTGGCTAGAGCCCCGGTCACGCCCCGACACCGGGTGATGTCCGTGGGCAAGGTTTCCAAGCGACTAACACCACAAACACCTCTCACGCCGTCTTCGTCACAAACTGTGTATCACCTAGCACGACAGCTTTTCTCGAGAAGTGCAGACCCCGGCCAGCTAATTGGGCGGGACGAAGAGAGGTCCCGACTAAGATCTTTCCTTGAGCGATGCTCCGGTTCTCAGCCAAATGGATGCCTCTATGTCAGCGGGCCACCTGGCACAGGCAAGAGTGCAATGGTCAATGAAATGACGGAAGGGACTAAGGCATCATCCAGCTCAATCCGGAAAGCATACATCAATTGCATGAGCATCAAGTCATCGAAGGATCTTTACACGACGCTACTCGATCTGCTGTGCAACGAGACTGAGATGGAGGAAAATGATGCTGTTGCAGCCCTTCAGAAGATGTTCATACCAAAGAAGAAGTCGGGGGATATGTGCCTGGTTGTTTTGGATGAGATTGATCACATTCTGTCATTGGATCTGGAAAGCTTATACCGGGTGTTTGAGTGGTCACTGCAGAAGTCATCTCGACTCGTTCTTGTCGGTATCGCCAATGCACTAGATCTCACGGATCGATTTCTGCCACGGCTGAAGTCGCGGAACCTAAAGCCCGAGCTTCTTCCATTTTTGCCATACAGCGCACTGCAGATCAAGACAATCATTACGAAGAGGCTGAAGAGTTTGCTGCCGGAGGGGATAACGACACCAGATTACACTCCATTTTTCCACCCAGCTGCGATTGAGCTTTGTTCCCGCAAAGTCTCAAGCCAGACAGGTGATCTACGAAAAGCCTTTGAGATCTTGCGCCGCGCCATCGATCTGATCGAGTCGGAGACAAAGCAGAAGTACGAGAACGAGGCCAAGGAGCAAGCTCTGCAAATGACACCCTCGCGAAAGGTCTTGGGAGAGAACAATAACTTTTCTTCACCAGTCAAAACTCCTACGAAGAGCGTCTCTACCATCCTCTGTGACTCGCTCAAGAGTTTGACAGTGGAGAACGCTCCGCGAGTGAGCATTGGCCACCTCAACAAGGTCACTGCCGCAGCCTTTAGCAACGGGACTAGCCAAAGACTGAAGACACTCAACCTCCAGCAGAAGGCTGCTTTGTGTGCTCTTATGACAATTGAAAAGCGAAATCGAGCCGCACGGGATACTATTCTTGCTACGCCAACAAAGCCACGCGTCACCGCACCTACTGTCAAGACACTCTTCGACACATATTCCATCTTGTGTACGCGGGATTCGGTTCTCCACCCGCTTTCGAGCTCCGAGTTTCGCGAGGTGATAGGAAGCCTCGAGACCCTATCCCTTGTCACGGCAGTCGATGGAAAGAAGGGCTCTTTCGCCGTGCTGGAGACTCCGAGCAAGCGAGGAAGAAAGAGCACGTTCGGCAATGGTAATGGAGACGAAAAGAGAGTAGCCAGCTGTGTTGGAGAGAAAGAGATTGAGCAGGCTGTCGAGGGCCTCGGCGTAGATATTTTGAGAAGCATTCTGAGCGGAGAAGCGTTGGATTGATTCGGCATATTGCATTGCATACTTGCATTGGCGCATTGAATGGTGTTTTGGGGCACTGCATGAGGGTCTTGCACAGCCACTCTTCTTTGACTATGATTGTCTAAAATCCGGGGTTGTAGAGTGAAGATGCATTCATCATGAATAGGACTGAATCAAAATAGTAATACCTTCATCCACCACTCGTTCGTCAAACATGACGATGATCTACGTTGTCCAGCGTGACTATTGCCGTCTGTGACACGCGTTGTCGATCGCGGGACTATTTCTAGAAGCTCGGGGACATTGTTCGATGCGTTTCTGGCATAGTAAGTCACAGCCCTTGAGACGAATATCAAACAGTAGATAATTTGGTAACGAGTGCATGTAGCAAACCGCTCGTCGTCTACGCAACATTTCAAAACGACTGCTAGTGGATGATGTCTTTGGTCTCTCCGTTCCCGTTCACCCAGACAAGCTTTCTGGCACAGGAAACAGAAGCCCCATGTCTTTCCGCGAAACAAAACATCTCATGACGACCGAGACAGATGTAAAAATAGACACGAAATGCTTGTCTGGTCGATATCGGGATCTGCCAAGGTGCCAAGGCAGCCCTATAGAGATTGAAGCTTTTTGAGAGGCTGCTGACGCGGACGATGGGCGACGGGCGGCGTCGCGCGATCGGGGTCTCGTGCTTCCCCAAGCTCGACGCCCGCCAATGGATACGCCTCTACTGCGGGCGGTCATACAACTATTATGCAGGGTCCTTCTCCAGCTACCTAGGTAGTGATCTGAGGACTTTGGCAATCGACTCTTCGCCTACCCTATCATCAAACTAAACAGCTCACCTGCTGCACCTGGAGAAAGTAGTCCACTGCATTCAAGCTTTCGCATCCTCGTGTTCTTTCGCTCAAGCTCTTTTGGTCGATGCGTATTGGTGGACTAGAGGCTTCTTCCAAAAGGCCCCTGAGGCGCACCGCTGTCGCAAGCTATAACAAGGTGGAGTGGAGCGAGGCAGCTTTGACACTGCTTCAGACATAACTCCGTGAGCTTCAATCGAGCTCCGCCTCTCTCCACACGGTTGTTATGGTTGACAAATCAACACGGATGACGGCCAAGTCGGCGACAGGAAACGTCAACAGGTGGCTTGTTGATTCTCACCACGTCTTACTAGATCGTTTATACGATTCTCCTGCTAGTCATATATCCTAAATGAAGATGTATCTAGATAGCCCAGTTGAAAGCTTCTAGGTTCAAGCGGGGAGGCGCGATAGAACGGCTCATTTGACGGCAGACTTCTGCTGACTCGTAACGCTGGGAAAAGGGACGTACGGACAGACGTACGACCTTGCCATATCCACCTACGAGTAGAGTAGACTATTCTGGTAGAGTTCGGCAGCGAAGGCGACGCTGCCGATTAGCTGGGCCTCTGCTAGTCTGATGCACTGCCCTATATCCAGGGATACCTACATCGTGGAACCAAACGTTAGGCGTCCATGCAGACGGGGAAAATATACATGAGGAATACGCTTCCCATAATACGGAGCAGAAACAAGCGATTCCTATCGAGGAACAAAGTGCTCTTATGATACCAAGGTAGTGTACGCTATGTAACCTCCTCTGTCCATGTACTCAAGTCTAGACCCAATGTCGCTGAGCTGAGCTGAGTTCCCGTGAGATCCCGCAATAATCAGCCCCGACATGATTCACGGCCGACTGGCTGACTGAGGACTGATGAGCGACTACCGGTATTCCCAGTGTTGTGAAACGAATCTCTCTCCATTTCTCGGCATCTTCCTTCCCAAGTTCCAACCTCAGCACCTACCAACCTGCAGTACTGTCTGTACACATCCACAAAAATTCGCTCCCCTCCCGCCCGTCCGTCCCAGTCCCCGCGAAACCCAGACAAAAGCAGCCCTCTTGCCTCTTGGCACCAAGCAGTCAGCTCTCTTGTCCCAGCCTTGGCAGATGCAACCGCGCAGCAGCTGAGAAGCATTGATCCCGCTATTCTACTGATTACAGCATTTGTTTCTGCCCTCTTCTATCTGTCCGTTCTTCAGTAACGGCCACGCTGCCGCCCGCCCGTCTGCCCGCTAAGAGCGCGCTGACGTGCTTCTCGTCGGGCCTGCTGCTAACGTTGGTTAGTCCCGGCACACCTAACCCTCCCTAGAGTAAAGTATTAATCGTCAGATTGGCGACGCTACTTCTGCTCCCGCTGGCTCCTGCTCTGCTGGCTGAAAAGCCAAGTCTGCTATTTACCGGGGGGGTCCCGCTGCCAACCCACCACCGCCCAGCATTCCCTGACCCAAGAGTCAACCACCAGCTCGCCCTGCCCAGCCCAAAACACCATCACGAGCCTGCAGAGACCCAGCAACCCAGGCGTGTCACAGGACGCCCCGACCGGCAGCCCGCGCATCTTCCCGAACCCTGCCTGATAGCCGGCCGCCGTTGCCGCCGCTGCTGCTCCCCGTTGTTTTGTCGTTTGCCTCTCCCGCATAGATGGGCGCCTACCCGGCCGACAGCAACGTCTCTACCACGCTAGAAGACCAACCCGCGAGTCGCTCGTTCTTCTCCCGCTTCGCCCTACCCATCCGCTCGCGCACGCGCAACCTCGCCGACTTCCACATCCGCCCGGCCGAGCCCCATCGCAAGTACGCGGCCGGCGACCATGTGACCGGCGCGGTCATCCTCACCATCCTCAAGCCCATCCGCATCACCCACCTCACCGTCGCCCTGCACGGCTACGTGCGCGTCTACAAGAACCCCAACGCCGCCAACGAGCCCTTCAACCCCGCCGAGGCGCCCTCCACAGCGCCGTCGCGCTCCTCAAAGTACCTGGGCAATGGACACGCCTCGCTCTTCCAGGACGAGCAGGTCCTCAGCGCGGACGGCAGGCTCGAGCCGGGGAGATATGAGTTCAACTTCGATCTCATGTTCCCGTCCAAGGGCCTGCCGAGTAGCATAGACGTGAGTCCCACCTCTGCAATTATAGGACACGTTTCTTTCATCCCGTGTCAGGATGCTAACCTGCAGCCAGTTCGAGAGGGGCACAATATCGTACATGATCACAGCCACACTCACACGACCCACATCAATATCTCCGACGACGAGCTGCGAACGGAAGGTTTTGCTGGTTGAGCAGGTAGATATTGGGCCCTTGGTACCGCCGCGGCCACGGACGATATACCTAGAACCGATATCAAAAAGAGCGAAGAGGAAGAGGACGGGTCTATCAGACAAGAGTGGCTCAGCAACGTCCGAAGCTCCGGAAGCCGTGTCTGAGCCCGACCCGGCTCGTCCGGCCGAGGCCCCAACAGAAGGATCAGTCATCGCAGACGAGGCGAGCCCAGATGGTCAGAATAATCCCAGGAGTCCGATACACAGCGATATCAGAAGCGAAGTGAGCGGCGACAGCGGAGTGAGCGGTAGCACCGGACTAAGCACGAAGGGCTCGGATCCGGCACAAGGTGGCAGCCTGTCGACCGTACAGCCGACTGGTGGTAAGGCCCCGACCGTAGATGAGAGGACGATTACGGCAAAGATAGAGTTGTTGAAGGCAGGTTGTCTCCCAGGAGACACGATCCCGGTCAAGATCTCTGTACAGCACATTAAAAGGATCAAGAGCATGCATGGAGTAATTGTTACCCTATATAGGCAAGGTCGTGTGGATTCGGCGCCACCAGTCTCACTGATGCCAAATATATCAAAGGAGGATGCACGGAAGTTGGAAAAGGACGAGTATTACCCTCGGTCTAAGACAGGGCTGGGAGGGTTATCTTTGACATCGGCGGGCTCATGCAGTGTCTTCAGGAAAGATCTCGCCCAGACATTCAGTCCACTCATCATCGATCCGGTCACTTTAACAGCCACTGTCACCACAAACATACGGGCTCCTGAGGATGCCTTCCCCACGATTAAAGGCGTTCCCGGAGAGATGATCAGCTTCAAGTACCGATTGGAAGTCATAGTAGACTTGGGAGGTAAACTGGCCAACCAGCTACAGACCAATCAGTCTTCAAGAGCTGCAGCGCCAGGTGGCGGAGTCTTAGCAAGGGCTTCGTCCTATGAGTCGGGAACCCCGGGTCTTGCCTCATGGAATGGTGCCCTCATTAATACAGACCCCTTGAAGCGTGAAAAGGGAGTTATAGTGGAGCACTTCGAGGTCGTTGTTGGTACATCGGATAGCCATCGGTCTAGGAGCAAAGCTGTTCGCCCGACCCCGTCTGTCCAGCCCTCATACGTTCAAGATGGAGGACTATATGAGGGCCATGAGCAGTCTTGGCAACGGCCAGGCTTTGATGAGGATGCCTATGGCCAAGAACCATTCCCAGAGGACTACGCGCCCTTCCCTCCCGAGACACAACAGTCACCACCGCAGCCTTATGCATACTGGAATGGACCAGAGTCAGGCCAGCCGAGCCAGCCAGCGGCTCCTTTCTATATACCACCACCTGAGATACCCGATGAGAGTGGTTTGACTGAGAAGGAGCGAGTGCGAAGAGCAGAGCAGAGATTGCTACCCAGTCAACCTGTACAAGCTCAACAAGAGGCCAACCCTGCCGATGTCCCTGAGGAGAACATATATGATGCGGACAACGCTGAGGCATCCACATCAACTGCACCTCTTGCACCATCGGCACCTTCTGCCCCTGATAATCCTACGTTGCCCGTAAGTCACGGGGACAGTGCTGAAGACGGGCCGTCCGCGCCGACCCTTGACGACGTATCAGCTGGTGCCGCGCGTCATCCCACCGATGACAAGCAAGAGCTGGAGCGCCAGCGACTTCTCGCAGAAGCCAGCGCTCCTCCAGAGTTCCCGGAAGACTATGACGCCGGGGTGGGCAGTAGTGCTCCGCCGAGCGCGAGGAACTCGCAGCAGCCCGCGAATCTGGAGCCATCGGCACCGGTGCTCAGTGATGAAGAGGACTATGGGGAGAACTACTCGTATGGCCCGGTTGCTGGGCCGTCGTCACATGCGCCATC